AAGGATACTTCGACATGTGACAGGAGGAGCAGGGATCGAACCAACAACCGACCCGCTCTGCCTTTGCAGCACAGCCGTCACACCTGTCAACTGTAATGGTGGGGACTATGACTTTGTAACTTCCATCCTTAGTATGTTAAAGAAGTGAAGGCTGGTGTCTGCACTCTCAAGATACCCACATTGGGATTTTAATATAAGCACTCACTTAAAGCTGCACTACTGTACTCATTTTTATACAAATGTTTTTGGTCATATTTACTGACACTTTCACTATATCCTGACAGTAGAACATGAGACAGATAATCTATGAACAAATCAGTTTCCTCTGGCTCCTCTTAGTGCTCCCAATGGCATTTGCAAGAATCCACCAGGAGCACTAGAAGGAGCCAGAGGAACCTTATTTTTGACCAAGGTTTAAAGCTCTCCCCGCTGCTGCTTGTGGGGTAGAAGACTTTGAACCAGTGTGAAAAGAGATTAGATGACCAAATGTGTATCTAATTGTAATATCTCAACACTGCCATTAAATCTGCTCTTTCCTCACAGCCATTCTGTACAGTTCCAGCTCAACCCACCGACACAAAGCACACAGCTACAGCTCTACCTACCACAGCGCCGTTAGCAGGAACCTTAGTGGTGGAAGCTGCACCGAATGTCCCGGATCTTCTGGGGGACGTCCCCTTCACCCTGGCTCCTCATGTTCTGGCCATGCAGGCGGGGTTCCCCCTAATTCCTGACGTGCTGCTGTCCCGGGACATAAACTATAACCTGGCTAGTTTTCAGTACGACTTCACTTTAGAGAACTCTGTACTTCAGAATGCCTAGTCTGTTTAAATTTGAAAACCGGCTCTGTCATCAGGAGTTCACACTGTAGGGAGCTTGGCTGATTGTTGGTTATGTGAGATGTTCCAGGCCTACAATATAGTTAACAAGCAAGATTATGTAGCATTATGAGCAAGTGAAAGTCCACTAAAATTACATAAAACATAAAATAAGTAGTAGAATTGACAAGCATCAAATTTATGAACTCTTTATCCATTTTCTACTTTCAATGTAGAGGCGTTGAAATTAACGTTGGGAGGGACACAAGGGCCATCTCACTGACTGTACAAATGATGATGTTGAAAAGCTTTATGGAACTTAATGAACTCCTGTTGAGTTGCTCTCAACATGAGCACAGTTATTACAGATATGGGCCTGGTTGTGATTGATTAAGACATCATGACTGTGAAGTCCTTAGGCACACTGCAGATACAGTGATGCACAGTGCGTTATATTGATGTTGTGAATTACAGTTTATTAAAACTTGGGTTTCTATCAGTTCTGATACCTTTGCAAGACATTTGCTGAGATCTGGGAACATTGCTGTAAAAAAGTCCTGAGAGGTGAAGTCAAAAATGATCATTTGATTACTTGAATTCTGCTACTAGCACCGAACCTAAAAGGTTCAGATAAAATATGTGTTAGGTTGTTTTGAAACAGAGCTCGACAATTTGGACTGCCCCCTTGCCTGGGACAAGTAAAGAATGCCATGTTGGGCTAGTTAGAACTGCAGTAGGTAACTTTTATTAAAAAAATAACTTTTTGTCATATTTGCTGAAACTTTCACTTTATCTTAACAGTAGTACATGAGACAGATAATCTGTAAAAAAAAAAAATCTGGCCTGAACAAAAACAACCAATCAAAAAAAATAGTTTCGTGAAAATTACCTACTGCAGCTTTAAATATGTTTTGTTTATTTCTGTTCCCGTTTTGTGGTTCACACTAATGCACCTTAATGCTGGTTGCCAGCATTACAGTTGAGTGTAATTAATTTGCCAAAAAATAGACATAACACCCAATAAAAGTTAAAGATGAATTTGACTGATATTATTATTTTTTATTCTAATTTTAATAATATCGTTATCATGAATAATTGTACAGTTCAAATCTAATGTGGCGACAGCCCTAAACTGAAGTGGATATATTACTGTATAGGATTCCATAGTCCTTGTGCTAGGAACTGTCTATTGTTTGGAATAGTCATTTTGAAGGAGTTTTTTTTTTTTTCAGCCCATTTGAGGATGTGGCACCAAATTATGAAGCATTAACTTTGAACAAAGCTTAGTACTTGGAAAGGAAATGCCCTACCTCCCATTGAGTTAAACCCAAGTCTTAAGTAGAATCACCTATTAATGTACAAACTGCAAAATGTTAAAATTGTTTGAATGATGAAGTAAAAATGTACGGTAAGGCTATTTTTTACTAACTACAACTCTCATGTAATAATTGGATATGATGTGATTTATATATTGGACAT